GAATGCCCAATCCAAGGGCATACATTTAAAAATCTTTACTGATAAACTCTCCCTGAACCAGGGAAAACTGAACAATTATAGACCCCCCCTCAATTATTTCTTTCTAACAAAAAGGACCAAGATTTGGAGTCCTTAAAGGTCTAAATGTATCTAAATAGTACTGATTTTCTGGATTTAGTGTATTTCAACTAAGCTGTCAGTCATGTTAGGGTACTTAAACTGCTTTGTTCAACTTGGGGAGGACCTAAGCTAGAAACTGGATAGAGAAATTCAGTTTTAATAGTTCTCCTGGTCATCTCAACACTTTCAGTACTATTCATCATAGATCCAAGACTTGATCACTTGATGGAACAGTGATACAAGTCTTTCTGTCAGGCCTTTTCAAATAAGTAGCGCTGGAGAAACACTGTTCAGCATCTGGGACACTGACCTGCAGTGCCCTAAGGAGCTTCATTTTGTCCCCACTCCCAACATGATATTCATAAAACTCCTGGAGAAGGTTTCCAACAGCTCAAATCCAGAGTTTCAGAATTAGCAGTACTTGGAGGAGATCCAACTCTACTGCTGAGTGTGGAAGTTTAAAAAAAAATCCTGTTTTGTCTTGCAACTTTATGTGTCAGGAACAGAAGAAAGGAGAACCTAATTTGCGCCAACCACATGAAATGATTGAAGAAATGAAGATGAAGGTGCATGATACCATTGGCAGAAAGTGACTATATTGACTTTGATGTCATGATATCAAGGTGAGGAAAAACAGAGAAGAGCACACAATTTTTACTGGAAGGGAAAAATGGGAGACATTTACTGGAAGGGAAAAATGGGAGAAAAAGCGTTCTAAAAGGCTGAAAAGGAAAGGGTAAAATATGTAAGAAATAAAAGGAAAGGCATATAATCAAAGAAGGACACAAGGCAGTCACCAGAAAGCAGAATTTTGTCAAAAACATTGAAAGTCTAAATAAACTGAGGCTTGTGAGAAATGCCCCATACCTGAAAAAAACCTGAAGAGTTTATATTATGAAGAAAAGGAAATGAATTTGTAATGGATGGTGACAAGACAACAGGACGTCTTAACTTTGTATTATATATCCATTTGTCTCAGAAAAGAACAAAGAATTAGCTAGCCATCATCGTTCCACTAGTGAAAGGAGGGAGAGGCAGCTCAGAGTACATATTGAGAAGGTTTTTTAAAAACCCTGCTTAGTTGATTTAAGTGAATTCAATTCTTCAGGGTCAGATGAATTACATCTTAGCTTACTTAAGGTATGAGTAAAGATTACTGTAGAAGTGCTAACTTTTGAGAACTACTGAGGTCTGAGAAGACCGGAGAATAGCAAATCTTCAAAAAAAAAAAAAAAAAGGATCTGGGAAATTGTAGATCTATCCATTTGCCATCTGTATTCAGAAAGATGATAGTGATTTTTAAATATCAAGTTAGTGAGGACATAAATGTTAATCAATTAGCAAGAGTCAGCAATTTCATTATCTAAATTCTGGCAATATTTCCCCAGATTCCCAGTCTAGACTCCTAGATTCCATCCCTAGATTTAGAAGGATTTCAAAGTATTCTTCTGGCTGTCCTAGTGTTCACAGGCAATTGTTTTTCAATTGAGGAGGTGGACACTTCATGTGTTATTCAATGTAGAGAAAAGTAAAGTCCTACACTTAGGCAAGAAAAACCAAAAGTACATATATAGAAACCAGGCTCAATAGCAGTAACTGTGAGAGGGATCTTGGAGTCTTAGTGGACAACCAGCTAAATATGAGCCAGCAGTGTGCAGCAGCAGCCAAAAAAGCTAATGCAATCCTAAATTGCATTAATAGAGGGATTCAGCTGAGATCAAGTGAGGTACTAATACCACTCTATAAAGCCTTAGTAAGACCACACCTAGAGTACTGCGTCCAGTTTTGTTCACCACTTTACAAAAAAGATGTTGAGACTCTAGAAAGAGTACAGAGAAGGGCAACCAGGATGATTAGGGGACTGGAGACTAAAACTGCTGTGTCCGCTGACTGACGAGTTCTCTCTCTGGTCCGCCGCCTGCACGATTTATTCAGAACAAATCATTTCTAATGTGACAGCTAACACTACGTGAAGCACAATAGAACTAGTTTAAGTATAGTGGTCATCTTATGCTCTTAGGACCATAACTTCCTCCATCACTGTTAATCGCAGAAAAAGCTTCTGCTGTTGAATCTTGTATTTAATAGCAACTTCTGCTATTTACTTATGTTATACATGCCACCAAGGTACACCATCATACTCCTGTATCCTAAACCAATTACATTAATACTAATAAGTCTGATTATTAAAAGAAAAGGAATTAATGTACGCTTAGCAAATAATAAAATATTTCTTGCTTTACATGCTTTGTGTAAAAAAGGATAAAACACATGAACTGACTCATTGACCTTTTTCTGAACCCAAGCTATTAATCAGAATATAATAGGAAACAGAACAGCAGCTTGTTTTCTGTAAGTGGAACAACATTATCTTTGTTTTTCAGATGCACTTACAGTATTTGCAGAAGACACAGCACCACCACCACCCTTTTTTTCTCCCCTCCCTATTCAATTTCTCCCCATCAGAGCCAATCTATGTGGATTTCTTTGGCAATTTGGCTTGGCCGTTACAATATGCACAATATCTTCAGGAAGAGATGGGGAGAAAAATTGCGGTGCTCTTTCAGGTAATCCAAGAAATGGTCTTTTTCTTCCATTTTTCAGTAAGTCTCCTCCAAGGTGTGACCCACCCTAATGCAATTTAGGGCTGGTTCAGTGGATTCTGACATTTATTGAACACTTCACATCTATCAATATAAGCCCCATAAGCATTATCTTCATCTTCTGCTTCTGCTTAACATCACATGACATATCATGATTTTTCCCCCTTCGCTAAACCAGGTGTGGATGTGGCCAGTGCGTGACACATACAGCCCATGGGTTTGACAGCCCTGACATAGGGGATGTCAGCCAAATCAGGAAGACCAAACAGGAAATACAACCAGACAATCCAATTCTACTTCATTGTAAAGTGACATTAACAGAACCCAGAATGTCTAAAAGTACAATTCTCCCACTTTCACCTTTTCAGCCCAAGAATTTAGGGAGGATCCCTCTGAGCCTCTTGCCCCACCTGGTATCCTGCTGTGGGCTATGCTGTCTCTCATCTGAATATGAGACAGCATTTCTTTGTCCCACCTCACAAGATCCTTCCAATACACTAGATGCTTGCCATTTTTGCAGTTTCTTTCAAAGTATGGTGATTTATAATAATTGATAATGAAGAAATAAGTGTCAGATCTTTGAGTAGTAAAAATAAAATGTAGCTGATTTTGCAAATAGAGCAGCAGCTTCAAAAAGCAGGACCCAGATTGGAAGACAATAGAAGTACTATCTGAAACATTCCACTGCGTTATAGAACAATAATGGGAGCGGGAAAACTGGCAAATGGGGTGTAAAATCATAAATGAAAATTATAAAGATAATTAAATTCACATCTCTAAAGTTAACTTCTATATCTAAACATCTGAAATGGGATAGAATAGTTTAGCATAAGAAAAGGTAGCAAGGCATTTTGTGTTGAGTGGAGTCACAGCAGAAGCAGGAAAAAAACCCCAATATTTTTAGAAATGTAAAGCCTGACATACCATTTATGAGTACTCTAGTACAATATTGACTTTACTCCAAGCTCTTATTTCTCACATCTTATGGATTAGGATCCTTTGACACAATTAAGTACAATTGCATCCATTAGGTAAAGGATTGTGTGAGAACAGAAATGGCATATAAATCAACAAGCTAAATAGGAGAGTGCAAGAACATCGTATTTCACCCATTCTCTTCTCTGAAAGATTTCTAAAGTGCATTATTTTTCATCAAACTGAATAAGAACCCATCAAAAATAAGGCAGAATTTCTCTGCTTTATATTAGCTCCTGGCAGAAAGCTATTTAGCTTCTTTTTGAACATATTTATAACAGACAAAGCTTTCTAAGTTCTACTACTGAATTACCTTTACTTGGAGGTATGGTTTTTTGTCTGATTTGCAACTATTTTTACTTACTTATTAAATAATCCAATATATATTGCTGCTCATTTGTCAAGAAAGTCTAGGCAGCAAACAAAATAAAAATAGAATTTTTTAAAAAACGGTAATGGACTAAAATTGCTTTAAGGCTCAATAAAAACACAGAACCATTAGATACATAATTTATGTTGGAGTTCCCATGCTAATGTCCCAACTCCCAATATTTGGGAGAAAGGCCAGATTTTATAGCCTTGCAAAAAGCCAACAGAGTAGGAGCTGTCCATATTTTTTAGTTGGGAGCCTATTCTATAGGGTAGGCAGCATAACAGAGAAGGCATACTTCCAGGGACCCACCAGATGGTTTTATCGATTGCACTTGGAATATGTTCACTCTGCCAGATCTGAAACTATCAGTCACTCAGAAACCACAAGGCAGCTCACAAGTAACTGGTTTCATCATGCCACATAGGGTTTTAAAAGTATCAACCAGCACCCTGAGTGCAGTTCATGTAGGAGCAGTGTTACATGGGTATACCATGGTGTGCTCAAAACTGAATCTGCTGATGCATTCTGGATCAGAAGAAGCATCCAAAGCTCTTCAAGGTAGCCCCACAAAGGCATCCCAAATGTATGAGTGACTACGAGCAGTGCAATGGGTTCACAAAATATATTTGTATGAAAGCTCTCCTCTAGGATCATACACACCTGTGTCGCCCTGATCATTAACTTACTCTTCTGAAAAATCAAGTTCTATTTCCCTTGGTCATTTATAAAAGGAGTTGGATTGTAGGCCAATCTTCTTTTTATCCAGCTACCTTTGTTGATTCAGAATATAAGAGCCAAACACAATACACAGAGTAATTCCTTGTTATGGGACAGATATATTTTCAGTACATACAACCTGAAATGCAACAAAGAAAGTTGTCTATTAATCAAAAGGGTTATTGTATACTGACTCTAGTTTCTTTTCTTACCTTTAAGAGTTGCTTTCTTAAGTACCTTCATTGCATAGAGCTGCCCAGTATCAGAACCTTTGATTTTTCTCACTAGAAATACCTGTGGGGGGAAATGTAAGTATGTAAGTATGCATTTCTCTATTCTTCGGTATTAATTATTAATTTAGACAATTTCTTAACAGTTCATTGTGGCTTATTTAAAAATAAAAAAACCCAGAACAGTATAACCAAAACAAGAAATACAAAACAAAGATAAAAAGCACCTGATCTCAAAAGAGTAATAGAAACAGCTGCCCTCACAATCCCTATAAAAACAGCCAAATTCACAATTGATTTTTAACAGTAAGCTTACAAGCGCTCTTAAAAAATGGGATGGAATACAAGAAAGCCTTACAGGAAATTTAAGCCTAAAATGGGTAAGACTTATAAATCATGAAGAGACATGGGCTCAGAAGACAAGCACAAGGGATATGTGGGATTTTTAAAAGAGGCTCCATTTACCATTTGGGCCATTTTTGGAGCCAGTAATAATTTTAAGGACTAATGCTCTATAAGTAGAATCTCAGAGACTAATACTCAGAAAATAAATAAGGGTTGATTCAAAATCAAAGTTTTACCCAAGAGTTCTTTAATATAAACAGGTTTCTATATAGGTTTTGTGCTTCGGATATATACATTTGCCCATACTGATAGTGAAGTAAGGATATTAGTGGCAAAAGGAAATCAAAGGAGAAAAGATTTATTTATTGATATTTCATATTTCTTAATTGTCCATCTCCCTCAGAGAACAGGTCTAGGTGATGCTAAGATTCTGATTTTTTCCAAATAATGTTTTTTATGTGCTGAATAATAGAACAAAGAGTTCCAAATGAAAAATAAGATATAAAATATGCTTTAGTTTAATTTTACAGAATTTGATATCCATTCTTAACGTCTAAATGACAGGAACAAAAACAAATGTACTGATTCCCACCTCCCTAAAGTAAAAATGCACATATGTACACCATCTAATATTCAGACCATTGTAAAATCTCAGGCCTTAGTTCAGACGTTTGCAACAACAAATACCTCAAAACTGCAAAGTATATCTTCTTGACAAACTCTTTTAAAATTTTGAAAGTTTCTTCTCGCCATAGCTGATTTAGGAAAAGCCAACCTCTTGCTCAGTAAGAGATTTCTCTCTAGCAATATCCGCTGAAAGAGGCACAGCTGGAACTAACAAAGTTAGCGATGTATTCTTTCAGTAAGTGCTCTCAGAGGGAAAGATCTGCATTGGATTACATATTTTTAAAAATCACTGTTCACAGGAATTTACCTTGCTTGCTTTCAAGCATCCTAATTAGAAAAAAGCCCTTTCCTTTGCTAGTTTAATTTCCAACCTATTGTATTCAGAAATCCAACTCACTGGTTTAAGACTGCAACTAGATTGCAATAGTTCAGAAGATAGTAAGACAAATATTCAATAAATGCTGTCATATAAAGTTCTAAAGTAGTTCATTTTTGTTGAGAAAGTAGTCATCTTATTTTTAATAATTCCTCAATGGTTGTTCAGTTTTTGAAATACCACTGACTAATATTTAAAGGCATTCAACCTTTAAGATTATATAGGAATTCTTCACATATTAAAATATCTGCAAGTTTTTTTAATCAACAAACTTTTGAAGAGTGAATTATATTATGTTCTGTGAGTGGGAGAAGAAGAGTGGGAATAAAAAAAAACAATGCACAGCATTTTATTTTGCCTTTCTATAACTATAGAAAGCATAGCTGTAAATGTGACTTCATATTAAATAAGATAGTCATTTCTCAGCTGTTCTCTGTAATATTGGGTAATATTGTATTTGACTGTAACCCTCTCAAAGCATGTGAATCAAACAATGTTTAAGAAGATATCTATTTATCATATCTATAAAAATACAACAAATGAAAACTAATACACAAAACATTATTACCTGCTCATTCCTACCGAAGGCTATCAATTGCAAAATAATTTCGTATAATTCCATTAGCTGAAAAACTGATTGCCTTGAACAAAGGTGCATTTTAAAAATATGGTATACTAACTTGGTAGATGTGGAACATTGAAGTATTGAAAAGTTGTACGGATTCACACTAGATGAAGAATACTTTATCGATTTCTCCTCAAAGAGTATTGGGTTTGAAAGGGAAATTGAAGGAGAATCTGATTCAGTTACAAATGACAGATCTCAAGAGTCTAATCAGTGCTTTCCTTCCAATTTTGTAGGTTGTATCTAATATAATTAGAAGAAACCTTATCCAAAAATATCTTCCCTGCTTCCCTATTTCAAATCACTATATTCCCTGAAAATGCTCTGTGGGGAATCAAAGTTCTCCTTAATAACTGGAGTTAAATTGAAAGTGTAGGCTAAGTGGAGGAAACTGTGGCATCTGGGATGCCTTTATTTTGGTTCATATAATCCATTGACAAAGTAAAACTATTGTACTAAAGCTGAGGGTCTGAGTCAAGGTGGAATAATAGAAGGTACCAGAAGAGTTGGATGTTTCCTTCATTCTCCATAGCTTTAAAGGCCCTATCCTTGAGGAAATGTTAGGCTGATATTTGAAAAAGAAGTGAGGCTGCTTTTATGTTTATGGCAACATGAAGGAGAGTAAGGAAAGAAAACCAGGTACAGAGGAAGAGATGAGGAGTCGGGGGGGGGGGGGGGGGGGAAGCTGAAAATGTGACCCTACATATGAGTCAGAGGATGCATCTCTCTCTAATGAAGATGTGGTTCCTATTTCTGAGATGAGTGAATGAATGTTGGTCTAATTATCTGGATATTATGAATGCAAGAAAGTTTCACAACAGATTCAACTTTTAGAATTCCAACCTAAACACACTGCATTTTGGGAACTGATCCACCAACTTTGAAGACACCAAATTGGAAAAAGCTAAATTACACATAAAACATTACCTTTCCATAGGAACCTTGTCCCAATACTTTCAGGAGCTCAAATTGAGAGGGATCTGCTTTTTCGAAACCTTCTTTGACATGGTGACTGATGTCTATCTCCTTTACAATGCTTTCTTCCTGTGAATGAAAAAAATAAACCAAGGCACAGTTCATAGCCTGGATAAAATTAATTATGTCACTTAATTCCAACTGCTATTCTTCTGTTCAATTTTTACTTCAAGGCTAAGCATTATACTTGTGTGGAACCTATTAGTTCTATCCATCTTTGTGCACAAATATTTTCATTTCACATGTTAATCATATTGAACCTGACTGTGATTTACTTTCATCTATGAAATATATTATTTTATTACTAAATTTAAAGAAAAGTAAGCCTGTAAATCAAAACACAGCAGTCAGTTCATAAAGCTGCTAGGTCTGAATAAGCTATTCTATGACAAATCTTGGGGTTTTTTTCAAGGTAGAAGAAAACAAAGGACAGATATTACTGTCATCAGATTTAGGGGTTAATTAGTAGATGCACCATAGAAGCAATTATTTTGGAAGGTAAAATACTCAAAAAAAACCCTCAAATTTGACTAAATTTCAGCTAATAAGTGCACAATATTTAGTTCCCTTGGTCAGCCACATAATAAGGGCAAATCATTACTGTTGATATGTCATATTTTAAAGTTGGCTCATAAAGAACCCAGAATCCTTATATTCTAACTGTAGGTTCAGATCTGTTAAATCTAGTAGGCTGAATTACAGCTAATAAAGACTGTAGTAAGGAACTCCCTCCAGTTAGTTCAGAAGAATACTTGACAAAATTTATGTACAGATGTCCCCAGTTCAGAGGGGTTAGAAAGAACTTTTCACCTCAGTGCTAACTCAGCATTATAAGCAACCTTACATTTCATGTCAGCTGTAACATCTGGCTGAATTTTCTTCCTATATACCATCTTTAAAATTCTTAATGTTTTATATATTCCAACTGGATCCAATATAGGTCAAGAGATTTCTAATTTCTTACATTATAAAGCTGAATATATAGGATACTTTAATCATTGCTTTTTATAAAAGGTACTAAAATGAAGATAAATTGCTATTAAATATGAGCACACAGAGCTATAAATTCATTCAGTTAGGACAAGGAACATTGTCACCAAAAGCCAGACTGACGTTATTCTCACATAGACAAAGAAAACAGATTTTTCTCAGGAGAAAAGCTGAACAATAACTAATGATGTATTCCTTAATGTGTAACACTGAATAATACCTGCCAGCCTCAGATCTTGTTAAGCCTTTTTGTTCTGCATAAAGTGTTGTTATTGTTGTATGCCACATAACTTAAATTGTCTGATTAAATGATGCAGATTGTCTTTTATGAATCTATGATTGAGGTCACTGCTAGCCTAATCACCTTGCAGATCTGGAAAAGGTGAAGAATATCTCTGCCCAGAGCAACAAGGTGTCTTGGATTAGCTTTTAGAAATAGTCACTTTACATATATAAACAATTACTAGAGGGGTTTTTTAATTAAAAAAAATAGGATATAATAAATTCCATTTACAAAGGACAGAGTTGAACATACATTATTGCTGAATTCTTCTTTGTTATAATCTTGTTTCCAGATATGAACTCAAAGTCATATTAAAATTTTCTTTACTGTTATTTTTGAGATTGGCAAAGCAACTAGAAAAACAGATATAGGCTAAATCACAAGGTTTTAAATCAAAGTTTGTTGATTAGCCCATGGGAACCTGGTTTCAATATTACTATTAAACTACAGTCCACATATATTCAGGCAAAAACAAATATACATTACATGGATCCTTCTCACTCTTTTCTTAATTAGCCTTTTTTCTTCTTTTTTAAAATCATGTTTTGTTTCTTTAAATCGCCAGGGTTTTCTTCAGTGTGCAACCATTTTTTTTCTGTTGATATTGTAGGGTATTTTTTAATATTTTACTATTACAAATAAAATACAAAACCAAAAAGAAACAAGTCATATTATGACTGGGTATAATGTGTGAATGTGATCCAAGGCTGCCTAAATTGGTTTCAGGTATAAAGTAAATGAGAGAAGTACCATACTGAACTTTGATATACTCTGAATATGTGATCTGTTTTAAGCCTGTTTGATTGTTTTAAGTTCTGCTTGTATCCAGGCTAAGCAAATATTTTATGGAGTGCTAGAACAATAATCCACCCAGGTTCTAAAAACCTGCTTTGGTTACAATTTATTCCTACTAATTTACTGAAGACAAGTTTTTTAACCTAATGTTTTCAATTCTGTGGAATTAGCCTCTCATTATATCTAGCCAAGGCAAATATACCAAATGAAAAGTATGAAAATAAATGTTCAGATGTGCTGAGGATGATGGGAATTTAAAATCTAATGTATTTCCAGAGTTCTAAACTGAAGAAAAGGTTGTAAATAAATTTCCATTTTTTTTGTTCAGGACACTAGGATATGTAGAACAAAAGCTTTTGAATACCTTCTGATTAGTGGGGAGAAAAAAAGGGGAAATGCGGGAGTCACAGAAGCCTAGAATCAGTGAGATCATAAACTCTATGGACAAAAATCTATATTTAAAGTTAAAGGGGCATAAATTAATGGCTACTAGCTTCAACTGGGCAATTAAAGCCCTGCATTTTTTTAATGTATGATCTTCCTGGACTTTTGTAGGGCATTAAACAAAGTTAAACTACTTCTGTGGTGAATTTGTCTGTGGTCTGAATTAAAATGGGGCTGTTTTGGGGTCTGGCCAAATATTATTACCAAATCTATTTTCTTCTCACTTTATTCGATGTCATTTTTACCTGTAAGGGTTTTTTTTTTTTGTCAATTTAAGTTAATCTCACCAGAGAGTAAGCGAGAGCTGCATGTTTTGACTTGACTAATTTGGATGTTGTCATTACTTAAACAAATAAAATAAAATATCTTGGGATTATATTTTAACTGAATAATTTACTTCCTTGTGTGATGAAAGACTGTTTTATTTTTTCTTTGAATAAAGGTTTGAATAAATGTTATCTGGCCATTTCTTTAAGAAGGTAAACATGAAGCTCAGAGTTGGAAAGGAAAAAGAAAAAGAAAAAAGAAAGGCAGCTGGTGGCTGGCCAGACTATAAAGCAGAAAAGGAGGAAGTGATAATTATATAATTAAAACAAAGCAATACTCAGCCCCTTTTGACATTCTATAATTAAGCATAATGTTGCTTGTTACATCTCTTTAAGAGAGAAACAACTTGTGTCAATTCATACCATTTCATAAAACAAAAGGGTTTGATTCTTCATTTTTAACTTATCTTCTGAATAAACAGGGGTGTAATATAATAACACCCCTATCATAAATCTAAATTCTACAATACTAGGAAAAAGAACCGGCATGACCAATGAGGCAAGGCAAGCAGTTATCCATTCCCCACAAAGTGTTTGCAATAAATTAGATCACCTCCATCTACCAGAACTCCAGTCCTATGACTGAATAAAACAGCAGGAAATTTGGGGTGTGGGGCTAGTTATTTAAATGGTCAGTCTCCCTTTTTTCCTTTCATTTTTATGGTGGGCAGTGTGTAAATAAAATGTCACACACCAAAGAGGCTAGGAGGAAGTAAAAACTAGTAAATTTGCAATAGTGGCAAATATCTGTAGCTCAGGTATAAGATGAGGGTGAAGATTCATTCTCCGAGCTTGTGGGTTGATTTCCGAATGTTTCATTACCAGGCTAGGTAACGTGGCTAGATAAGCAACCCACAAGCTTGGACAGCAGACCTTACAATAGCACTGAAAAAAAGACGTATGACCGTTGCAGCTTTCCCATGGTCATGTGATAAAATCTGGATGCTTGACAACTAATTCATATTTATGACAGTTGCGGTTTCCTGGGGTCATGTGATCACCTTTTTAAATCTTCCCACAAGCAAAGTCAACTGGGAAGCCAGATTCACTTAACAACTGTGTTACTAACTTAACAATTGCAGTGATTCACTTAACAATTGTGGCAAGAAAGGTGGTAAAATCGGGGCAAAACTCACTTGATGAATGTTTTGCTTAGCAACAGATATGTTGGGATCAATTGTGGTGGTAAATCAGGGGTGTCAAACTGGCGACCTGCAAGCCGGATGTATCATGCACAGGCCACGCCCACCCCAGCTCCGCGAAGGGGGGGAAGTCATGATATGTCATGTGATGGCAATGTGATGGGACGAGTTTGACACCCATGTTGTAAATTAAGAACTACTTGTAGTACTACCATCTGTTAAGCTTACAAATGGGCTTAGCAAGGTACTGTACACTACAGAAGACATCAGAAATTAAAGGGAAGGTTAGTAAATACTTTGTCCAGCATCATTTCATCCTTGAAGTTGGGCCTGACTTTATCATGGATGTTTTACATGGAAGTGGCTTAGGCTGACTAATACCTGTGCTACCAACTTACAGTTGCCTCATTTAGCTCTATTGCATAGTTAATGGTTTTCCGGTGGTGAAATGAGTCATTCAAACCTAAACTCACCATTATTTTTTATTAGGATTCACTGGAATTTGAAACCAAAGTTAACTATTATAACTATTAGTTTTAACTTAGCGTGCTATATGAACCCCAAAAAACCTATGGTTTAATGCAGGGGTCCCCAACCACCGGTCCGTGGAACAAGTCCTACCGGGCCGCTGGTTTGCTGGGTGCCGCCATCTTTTTTTGATGAAAAAGTGCTTCTGGTGAGCTTTTCCGGGTAGAAAGCTCACCGGAAGCACTTTTTCATCAAAAAAAGATGGCGGCGCCCAGCTGATGCCGGTACCGGGCCGCGCCATAAAAAAGGTTGGGGATACCGGGCCGCGGCATAAGAAAGGTTGGGGATCACTGGTTTAATGAACACATGGTATTATCATTGGTTTGTATTTCCTAAACTGTAAAAAGTTGAAGAATATTCCATGATAAGTGTTTTCTGAATCAGATGTCTTTTCTCTCTCTCTTCCCTTGTCAGAATGGAGATTGAGAAGACAACGAGGAGGAATTCACTGGAGCAATGCTATTTTACAAAAATGGGCATCAATTCCTCCAAGCAGCAGCTGAAGAACGTCAGCTGTGACAGAAGACAATGGGAAGGTGCAAATCTGCCTCTACCAGAAATTGCTTCAGCAGAGAGGTTGCGACCTGAATTCCAGTGGCTCAGAGTCATTAACAGCATCAGAGAGCACAGGAAAAACAGCTTCAGGTCTTGCCAATTGTATACAAAATGAGACAGATTTGCAAATGCAAAAAGTAGGATTTCATTAATAACTAGTGCGCAAGAAGCTCAAGAGCTACTGCTTTGGGGGCTGAGGTCTAACTATTCAAGATAGTTTCAAGATATTTATGTAACCCACTTTATATAGATGTTCTTTGTAGATCCATTTAGCTTCTTGCCTTATATAATAATTTCGTCAGTGCAGAGATACTTGTTTTATAACTTCCTATCACAAACTGTACCAACTTGTACAATGAGAACCCAATGTGTGTGTGCGTGTATCAAAGTAGACAAGTTACAGAAAAACTGCAACACTGGATTTCTTTGAAAAAACAAACAAACTTAGTAGTATTATCTTATCTGAAAGTTTACGTCTTTCTCTCCCCATTCTCCTCTGCCTTAAAAGTTCAAAGTTACCTTACTAAAAAGAGAAGCGTTTCATACATTTTGAAACTAATAGCTTAAGGAGTTTAATTTACCATTTGGCAATTATTATTCAAGCAGTGAAACTATTATATTTGATTGCAATCTTATACCTGGAAGTAAAATTTACTGGACCAGTGGTGGTATTCAAATATTTTTACTACCAGTTCTGTGGGTGTGGCTTGGTGGGCATGGTAGGGGAAGGATACTGCAAAATCCCTATTCCCTCCCCACCCCACTAACCTGCTTTCCAGCTCCGTTCTCCTGTGCAGGGCAACCAAAGAAGACCCAGCCGATCAGCTGGGACTCGGGAGGCAGAGAAGAGATGGGGGTGGGGCCAGTCACAGGTGATATTTGCCAGTTCTCCAAACTACTCGAAATTTCCGCTACTAGTTTTGCAGAACTGGTCAGAACTGGCTGAATACCACCTCTGTATCGGACTCAATAGAATTTTCTTCTGAGTAAACAGAAGTAGTCCTTGACTTAAACCACAATTGGGATCAGAATTTTCATTGCTAAGCAAGGCAGTCATTAAGTGAATCATAGAAGCATGAAAGTTAGATACAAAGGAAATGGGGCATTTATGAAGAGATAAGGTCAAGAATTAGTGAATGAAGGATGAATGCAGATGAAAGAAGTATCAAGTATGAAAGAAGTAGGTTGAGATGATTTGACCATATTAAAACAAAGAATGAGGACAGAATCATAAAATGAATATATGAAGAAGTTGAATGAGTCAAGAGGAAAGGAAGAGTCAAAAACAATCATGGCTGTATAGATTTAGACAGAATTGATAAAATCTCAAAAAGAGGAACGTATTTGGCAGAGCAGAGTTGTACTGAAAGCAAGGATGATTTGCAAGTTTAGAGTAGTATAAAGAGGAATAATTGATACAAGCTAGATTTAGCCAGATTTCATTTGGTTTTCTTTTCTGGGTTTTGTTGTTTGCTCATGTTTTTGTTTTTTAGTTTATTGTGGTTTAGCAATGAAATTTCTCATTGTGTCAGCAGTTTTTTTTTTTAGATCAACCTTTAGTTTCTGGATCACTTAAACAAAACTGAACAAAGAAGTTTTGAAAAAAAAGAACTGCTCTTTAAGAAAGAACAGAGGAACAGCAAACTGGGAATGCTTCCAGATGCCCATATCTTTATCCAAAGCCTATTGATGTCAGGAAAACACAACTAAGCTAGTATTTTAATTTCTGCATTTTCATTACCATCCTGACCCATGTAAGCTTAGTGGATAAAAAAAAGGCTGGAATATCTGATGGTAAAAATATTGATCTTTGAATGTTCTTGCAGTCTTTCAAGCCCACCAATCAATTTTCTGCTTTTGCCACCCATTTGTTCTTTTACAGATTGTTCTTTTGCTGAGGAACAAAAGGCAATGAATGAATCAGTGTATGGAGGTGGTGGAAGCAAGGATGATTTGCAAGGACAGAAAGATATGGAAAGGCCTAATTTATAAACTGATGTACTACTGTATCTCTTTCTTTGGCTTATCCCAAACTGAGGTAAGTAAAACAATACACATTATGCTTTAAACTGCTTTCACTCCAACATATGACCATTAAAATCAAGGTTGTCCTGAAAGTCCATTAAGTCTAAAATCTAAAATTATCTAACTATATTGCATCTCTTTGCCTGTGCTTTTTACCGCTCAGTTAAATTATTTCTAATTCCTCTGTTATCCACATTATGTCCACCAATGTAAATGTATACTGTACATAAATGCTGGTGAACATAACGGCTGTTTCTGTGTGTCAGAAATATTATATCTTTAAAGGCATTCCATTCTGTGAAATTCATTGCTTCAAACTTTTTTTTTTTAACCTTACAAAACTTAGCTTGGATAAATTCAGGAATATTTTTTCCGCTACTTATCAATTATGGATTTCTTCGAGGATTTGTAAAAATAATAAGTAAATGAAATGAAATAAATATAATTCCTTCCACAGGCAGAAGTGATAGAGTGGATAGAGACACCAACTGCTGTGACTGTATCTCTTCATACATCAGAGAGAATATCCCAATGGAAATGAAATAGTAAAGCGCCCAGTAAATATAATTATTTTCTGTCAAAGATACAGCTGAAATAATTACACAGAAAAGTAAACCCATAGTTGCTGTTTGCAGCATATTTACCTAAATGCAATGGGACGGATTAATTATGACCAAACATGGCAGGTCTGGAACACCAGAAAGTTGTTCTCCTTTCCCATTTGCGCATAAAATCTAAAGAACTTCTTACTGTATCTGTATTTACATGTAACACTAACGCCAACACAAATCCAGATACAATGAAATGTTCCATGATGCTGGTCATTCTAAATGTCTTCATGGACTTAAATCAACATCCATTTCCGTTCAGACTCGCATTGTCCTTGCCAGCTAAATTACTCAATTAATCAGCTATCGTATAGTACTCTACCTCGACTTGAACCTTGTATTCTTCTTGGAAAGTTTTGTGTTCAGTGAACCTATTATACATTAACTCTTTAGTTACCTTAATGTAGTACCCTGCACTAAATGTTCACCTACAGAAAAAGAAATGAAGTTCAGTCAAGATCAGCAACAGACATATATGAGCAAGGGAGAATAAATGATTAGTTCTGGAGTTGGGAAGAATCAATAAGAGAGAATTTATCAGAAAGGCAAGGGGTGGGGGAAAGAAAATCACTGAAAGGAAATGGTTCTGTCAAACCTACAAGTCCAACAGTCCTTTTCTTGACAGCATCATTTTCTTGACAGCATCATTTGATTTGTAGTCTAATAATTAGGAATTTACAGTATTTTCTGAAAAAATTTCAGGCATGGGATTCAAGACTGGCATCTGACTAAAGTTGACCTTTGAACGTTCAGATGTTAAACAACATGCTTAGAGCAGACACAGATTGGAAAAAAGAAGGGGAAAACCACTTATTCTTTACTGCTTAAAATGGGTTGCCAGGTTAATATACTGGGTTAATACACCTATATTACCTATCACAACCTCCAGTTGTATTGAATTTCTCCTCTTGTCACCTTTCTGTTGACTAGGAATGATTGAAGTTGAATCCCATTTTGGGAAGATAAAGTTTAAGAAGGAGGATCTAATTGCTGGTCCCTGCTCAACATGCTAGTAACTTTTTTAAAGAAATGTTTTGCATGGGAGCCTACCCCAAATACATGGAGTAAACATCTCATACTTTTAATTATAGCAAAAGCAGGTGCTTCTTAAATAATATTTGCTGATGGGGAAAATGTCAAATAGATGCCAAAGTGACAGATTTAAAGTGAGAAGGGTGGCACTGTCTCAGGCAGCTAATCAACAACATGAAACAATAATTATCTCTTCTAAATCATCCAGACCTGTCTGTCACCTCTTCTTTAACTGTGAGGAGTTGAGATACTTGTGTCTCTTAAAGTTTTGCATTGGAAAAGAAGACAATATTCACTTTGCAGGTTAAAGATCTGCCTGAACTCTGTACACCTTATGGAAGAAGAGGCCTTTGTTAACTTTAATAAACATATTTGAGTGATATCCGAGGTTTAATTTGGTCTCTATTGAGACTTTCAATACCTATTTAACTTCTGTGTTAGCCATTGAGAGAAGTTTGAGCAAACAATTTCCCAGAAAGGAATCATATTTAGCTCAGAGGTCTGCAGCTACTGACCTACTAATCTAGAATAACTTTTCATTTATTTTCTCTTAGCCTTTTCAGGAAAGTATTATATCCTGACCATTACAACCTTCAACCAAATTATATAAAATGATTAATTACTCAGGAAGGGCAAGGTTTTTAAGCCTTCTCATAGGAGATAAAAGAAGCAGTCCTATGTGTCAGACTTGAGATGCTGCCAAAAACCTATAAATGGATGGAAAGTTAACTTAGGTGTAGCATCCATCAGCAGGGAGAGATGGCAGACCTCTTTCACTGTTTTTATATTTCTCTAAAAGTTGTTTCTCCCCATCTAATAATTTTTCAAAGGGAAGATATGATTCCTGGGCAAAGACAAAAAATTGTAAAGAATGTCTACTGAGGATGCCCCTTTGCTGTGCTATATTTTAATTGCTCTCCTGCCTTTAGTGCACTATATTGCAAACCAATACATCCTGCATTGTGGCAAACTATGACTCCATTAATTCTGCTTTGATTCTGAAATGCAAATTACAAGACATGCTCCTGATTTATCACCTTAACAATTTGCAACTGTAGGGATAAAGTGAATTTTTTAAAAAGTAATAAAAGTTAAATCTCTTGTGGTCCTTTGAAAATCAAGAAATTAACTCTTTTGTGGTACATTTCCCTTATCCTCACTGAATGTGATAATAGGACTAAGGAATCGCTGCTGACACTGTGACTTACCTAGTATAATTAATACCAGGAGAATATCAGTTTTTTAACATCATCCTCCACTGCCGAGAGCCAACTTGGTCAATTAGCTGAAGCATCTGGCTAGAAACTAGGAGACTGTGAGTTTTAATTCCATCTTAGGCACAAGCCAGCATTGTGACCTTAAGTTTGCCCCTACTTTCAGTCCTAAAAAAAGGAATTGGCAAGCTGCTTTCAAAAAAAGCTGCTAAGAAAATTGCAGGGGACTGTCACCAAGACTCAAAACAGATTTGAAAACACTTTATTTTCTTCATTTTAGATGTGCTATGCTGCACTACCAACAGCCGAACAGCTGTTTGCCACATGGGCAGCCAACTCCACACTCACCAACAGCCTCTTCATCTCCTTTGGTAACATCCTCCTTACTGCCTGCATCCAAAGTAGACCCCATTGCTACATTACCGCTGCTAGCCTAGTTCAGTAAAAAGAATCCAACACGTAGTCTCATAATTCTAAAATTAAGTGGTAGGTCTTACTAGTCACATTTTCTTTCCTATTTGCCTCTACATAAAAGCATGGCTCCTTGGGTATGGGTGGGAATTTGAGTGACTCAACAACTCAAATGTATGAGAAGTTTTCTTAGCTTTAGATGTTACTCCTGAGACTTGGTTGTTTCTCTGAGTGCTTTGGAAAGGGCTACAAAGGGAAAGAGAGAATTGCTCTCTCCTATTCTCTTTGGTTTGATGGGACTGTTTGCATTAGCAAAAGCACAAAAGTATCACCTTTGCCCTTCTAAAGTCATTTTACATTTAACTTACATGACTCATTCTGCTTTCCTATAAAACTATGTGTCCGCAAAAATCCTCCTTCCCGTTTAAATATATTTCATAACTCAAAAATAGACTGAGGATAAGGCTGCCTTTCTTGACAAGTTGAACAGCAGATTTAAACAGACTCCATCCATTTCCTAACGTAAATGTCATGTAATCCATCTACCGCTGCTCCAGTTATAAATGATATTGGGGATGTTTTGTCAGATAAATTGTTCTAGAGATTCCAGGAAAACACTTCCCAAATTCCCCCTTTTCCGTTCCCGGTTCACATTTCACAAAGACTCAGTATTTGCATAATGACAAAAAAAAATCTCTGATGAAGGGCCAGTTCACCGTGGTAGAATGATTCAGACTCAAAACAAGCACGACAAAGCCGACTTTTTTCCCCTTCCTCTTTCAAATGACAGGATAACATCCACTTCTGAATTGTGATAAATGCAGAAGGATATCTGAAGAGACGTGGTGAATGAATTGCACACACATACAATGGAAAATCTTTGATCCAGAGGTGTTCTGTAGGTATTTGATTGTTCAGACAATAGAGTACATCCCACATGTGTGAACCAGGTATGTCTAGACACAGACGCCCCACAAAATATGAGATACCTTCCCACTTGATCTTCAGCAAGACATGGGGAGTCTCTGCATTTGGAAGGATAAAGAGTCAGTGTCCCAGCTCCACTGAAGGTTCCTAGTGATAAAGCCACAAGGTATCCAAGGTCTAAGCCTGAACTGGGACCTTGCCTGCCACCATCTCTGTACAGCCAGGTGGGAGGAGAACCCCTGCCTCAAGTAAATGAAGCTATCTCCTGAATGTGTGGTCCTGCTCATGAAATAGTTGCTGCCTACTTTGATAATAAAGGTAAAGGTTCCCCCTCGCACATACATTCTAGTCGTTTCTGGCTCTAGGGGGTGGTGCTCATCTCTGTTATAAAGCTGAAGAACCAGCACTATCCGAAGACATCTCTGTGGTCATGTGGCCAGCATGACTAAATGTTGAAGGCGCACGGAATGCTTTTACCTTCCCACCAAAGTGGTCCCTATTTTTCTACTTGCATTTTTACATGCTTTCGAACTGCTAGGTTGGCAGAAGCTGGGACAAATAATGGGAGCTCACTCCATTACGCGGTGCTAGGGATTCAAACAGCTGAACTGCTGACCTTTCTGATCGACAAGTTCAGCGTCTTAGCCACTGAGCCACCACGTCCCTTACTTTGATAATACCTCACCTCAAAAAATATTATAACAAATACTTATCATTTTAGTACAGTGAATTTTATATGATTACAATGCAATGAATTTAAATAGTGCAGGGCTTTTTAAAACGTGCTTTGCCCCCAGGGGAGCAAAATTGCAGGCAGCCCGGGTGTGGGATCTAGGCACTGGGGTCCCCTCCAACACCCTTTTTCCCTCTAGCAACAGCCACCATTTGTTCTTGAGTCCTGCCCAAGGTAACCCAGACAGGAATGAGACCCTCCTGCCTGCTCTCACCTTCACCCTTTTCCAAGGCTGGTTCTTCCTCAGTTTCTTCCGGGTGACGACACGCTGGTGCTGGTGCTAAGCCTGCACCTTCAGATGTGCAAGACTGATGTCAGCTCCATCAGATAGACCAGACTAAAAATTAGACACTCTGCAGACTTGAGCTACCTTTATTAGAACAGTTGTATTAATAGAACCATGCATGTCTGAATATGTTACCTTTCCTCTTTTTTTTTTTTTTTTTAAGAGACAGGAGCAGTCTGAGGTGTTTCCACAAATATTTCTTGGGTTCAAGTTTTATTTATTTGATCATGACCTTGGTAGCCAATCCTCCCTCTGTCCTTTTAAGGACATCTTCTTTTTCTACTATACCAATACACTCAGCAAAAACAGAAATGCTGGCCTTGTATGCCCACCCCTTCAACACCCTCTCCCCCAAAGAAACAAATTACCTGTGGCTGAAAAGCACTACGGGGTGGTATACAAGTGCTATTGCTATTGCACCTTATTAAAGGCAGCTGAGTATCAAGTTCAGGCCTGAGGGGACTTTGGAATAAAACCTGTGGAGGAGAGTAGTCAGGATCAGAGGATACAAAGGGCTCATTGTGGACTGAAGCATCTGTCAGAACAAGCCGACTGTTCCTTGGGCTTTGGGGATTTGACTCTGCCTATTCTTCTTTGTGGGATATGTTTACTGAAAAACCTGCCTGCTTATTTCTACTACATCTATCCTCTCTATTCATCGCAGGATGGTACAACCGGATCCTTTGGGTCAACAATTCAATTTAGGCCCCTGACTAAGTAAATTCTTCTTCTATCTACCAGAAAGGTCAACTGTCTTCTTGTAAAAGCTCTCATTAAATGACCGTGCGTGTTTAATTTGCTGCTACATCACAACCTTTCGGAAAATATTTGCTGAGTAATACCCCACTGCACTGCAGGCTCTGACAGAAAACGGGGAAAAAATCTTTAAAACACTGGCCAAGAGGAATAACTATTGCTTTGCATAATTAGGTGCCTTAGGTGGTAAACTAATGGGTATTATATACTGCAGCATACAACAAACAGTAAATTTAAATCAATATTAACTAGATCTTCAAAATAGAAAATAATTTTATAAGAAGACACTGAACTTGAGGAACAGAAAACAATTATTGTAAGAAATGACTGTTTTAAGACCTGAAGGACCTGGAGCATTTTCCCTTATTCATAATATTTAGCTATTTTAGTATTGGTAAAATAAATGCTATTCACATATCTACACAATGAGATGTTTGTAACGAATAGCCTTATATAGTATATACCAATACAGTGTATGACCTTAATACTCTAAATCCTATTAGCAACACTGGCTTCCAATATTTGGGGGATTAAGGTACCCAAGGGATTCTGGAACATTCGTTCCTGAGAAAAGATGTCATGCAGAGTGGAACAAATCTGTCTTAGGAACTAGTTTAACTACAAACGCGCTATCTATATAGGTATATAGGGGGCGTGCATAAGCGCACCAACGTGCCTACCGTCCCTGTCCTATTGTTTCTCTTATTCTTCTTTTATTTTTCTTATATGTACCCATTTCATGTATTCACAACTATGTATACACTTATACTTATTATCTTGTAAACAATTGGCAAATCAAATAAATAAATAAAATAAATAAAATATCTCTGACTTCTTAGAGAAGTCCTGTAACTTCCTCTCCAGCTTTATTTAATGGGCCACTTTTTAACACAACTGTATCTTTGCTTTAATTAATCTCACAACTCCTGGATACTGTAGATATAAGAGAGAATTGCTAATATGGTTAGTAATTATTATGGGGAAAAATCCAGGTGCGGGTTGCCTTGCTTTGTCG